CTGGGCGCGCGGCGCCTGGGTTCCAGAGCCGCAGCCGGGGCTGTCCCGCGGCCGCCCAATCCCTGCAGGCAGCGGGCAGGTGCTGGAGCGCGGCGCGGGCGCGGGGTGGACATCGCATGCAAAGCGCCGCACACTCCGTTGCGAGTCAACACTCCTGCTCGGAAGCGTACCTGGAAAGGTGCTTCGTCTGCAGGGGGCGAGGTGCCGGATGGGATCCGAGCACCGCGTGTGGGGGAGGCGCGCACATGGCGAGAGGGGTTTGGTGCTAACGCAAAGCTGTAATTGAAGTATGTGTGCCCACATGTGCGATTTGTCGTCTTCTGGGTCTGTTGGGAGGGTTTGGTCGATCGGCTCACATAGAGTGAATGAAGGTTCACTAAAGTATGCACCGCGGTGTGGCATCTACGGGAGTTTGTCTCCTACTTTCTGCATGCGTGTGACACGTGAAGGCGGATTCTGAAGCGGTTCGGCTGCTCAATAAAGTCACAGTGTGATTGGGGGAGTACAGAGGGCTTGTATTTTGCTTTTTAAGGAAAACATTTTTAAACACTGCGTTGACCTTCCTGAGCTTCTCAGAAACCTGGAGCGTAAGAAACAACCTTCCTTTTAATTCTAACATATGACTTAAAACTCTGCTTTTCAGCTACTATGTCTTTAAAAATAATATTTTGCAACCTTCTTAGGTGAAAGGTTCTGCTTTCAAGTTGTCAAAATATTTGAATATATGTGTGTGTGTGTACATACACGGGTCTGTCTTTAGTGCCTCAAGCATAAATTTTCAAAGTGTCGTTTGAAGTCACTTTCACGGCTATAGACTCAGTCCTGCCTAATAAAATCAGTGACTAGATTTTTTTTCCAGTCAAGGTCAGTGTCTCTCCCCTATAGGCCCCCTCCTTGCCAGCAGCAGTCTGTTATGACTGAGATCACTGGAAGAGAGAGGAAGAGTCACCAAAAGAAAGTCTGTGGAGTTGGAAATGCCCTATCTACCAGAAAGTTCAAAGCCTGAGCCTGGGTGTCCTTGGAGCTATAGTCACATGTGAAAGAGGGAATGTTAGATTAAACAATGTCACCTGATGGGAATTTAGATAAGTTTCCAAAACAGCTGGGTGTTCAGAGGGAGCTGATTTTGCCTTTTAGTGGCCTGCCAGAGCTGAGACCTGGCTCCCGTCCTTCAGCTGCCCAAAGGATTTAGTATCTTCCCATTTGGCAAATGAACTGTCCGCTCAACATAAACCTCTCTTCAGTGAGTAAAGTATATCTCACTGCACCAAGGTTCTTTGTCTGACCACCAGTGAGCCTCTAAACTATTTTAGGGTGGTGGAGTGGGTAGTCCAGCTGAGGTTCCCGCCCTTAACCTAAACAACAGCTACAAGAAAATGAGACCACATTGCGAGTGGATCAAGATGTATACCAGTCTTTACAGCCAGGGCCAAGCAGGTGATTCCAAACCCTCCTTTGAGACATCTCTTCCAGCCAGTTCCTGGACCCTGCAGTTCAGTGCTAAACATTGAGAGTGCTGAGAAACCCGAATTTGTTAGGCACAGTGTCTTAGAACGGAGACTGCTTTATTTAAATGCCGTGACCGAAATCAAAGTTGGGGGCTTGTGCCTTTAACTTGTCCAGTAAAGTGCCTTTTAAGCTTGTTTTGTTTTGTTTTCCTATTTTGTTTGTTGGTTGCAGGGTTAGGGGTTTTGTTTTCATGGTTTGTTTGGTTTTTGTTGTTGTTTCTGAGAAGGATTTTCCTGTGTATCACAGCCTGATCTCAAAAGCTTGGCAATCCTCCTGCCCACCCTCCCAAGAGCCAAGAGACTATCTTACCATTATTAATCATTACCTGGGCCTTTGAGATTGCTCAGCAGGTTGATATGCCACCTGACCACCTAAGTTCAGTTCAGTTCCTATGCTCCAATGGCAAGACAGGAGGCAGGAAGCTTCTCTGCTACCTAACCGGGAGTTGACAACTCAGCAGGAATGAGACTCTTGGGAGTTCACACCTTAATCCCAGCACTTGGGAGGCAGAGGCAGGCAGATGTCTGGGTTTGAGGCCAGCTTGGTCTACATGGTAATTGCCAGCCAGCTAAGGCTATGTGAGACTCTGACCCAAAATAAGGAGGAAGGTAACTGAGTCCAGAGGTTGTCCTCTGAACTCACCTCTCGCTGGCCTGTTTGCACCTGCGCTCACACAGTCAACAGAGTCCCTGGCATTATTGTAGATGCTCTACTTCCCACAAACAAAATGTCTAAATGTGCAAAATGTTTGACCTACACACTAAAGGGAGTTAGCTGAGCCTGGACCTTGGCTGCTCTGGTTTCTAGATACAGGAACCCATCTGAAAGCTCAGTGTGGCTTCAGCATTTTTTAAATTTTTTTTTTAATCTTTCTGTTTGGTATGTGACAAAACTTTTCCTTATGAGATGAAACATTCATCTCACCCCAGGTAAGGAACCCACAACAGACCAAAGTGCAGATAGCACCACTTGGTGAGCCAATGAGTTTTATTGGGGTTGCTGACAGAAGCAGAAATGACTTAAAGACAGCTGCATCACTAAAGTCCACCCCAGCATGGGTGGCAGCTTAACAAGGTGGAGAGTCTTCTTCCCAGGCACCTCTATTGGCCTAAACCTCTGCCTGGTAGCTTTGCTGGTCTCCAAGTCTGTTTTGCAGCTTTTCTCCTCCCAAAGTCTGAGTAGCACAGCTTCATTTCTCTGAGAGGCACTCTCAGCTTCCATTGTTTACCAGGGAATCTGGTCAGTTTCAGGGAATTCTTGAAACTTTTCTTGTTGTTGACCTCCCTGCTTAAGGAGCTTGCATTGACCTGGATGGAACGTTTTAATCTCAAGGAGACTGTTGTTGCACAAATCCTAATTGGCCTTAATAAAAACCTGGAGCCAGATAACAGGGTGAAAGTTGAAAGATCAGAGAAGCAGAGCAAGTCACCTCTTAACTCACCAACTCCTCAGCCTGCAAGAGCCTGAAAAGACCTGAGTTCCTGTCTCCTCCCACCTTACATTCTTTTCTCTGCCCAGCCATATCACTTCCTGTCTCAACCTTCCTAGTGCTAGGATTTAAGATACGTGATCCCAAGTGCTGGAGTTAAAGACGTGCTACCACTGCCTGACCTCTGTGGCTAACTGTGGCTGGCTCTGTCCTCTGATCTTCAGGCAAGCTTTTATTTCTTAGATTACAAGCAATATATCATCACAGACTGTTAAACAGCAGAGTGTGTGTGTGTGTGTGTGTGTGTGTGTGTGTGTGTGTGTGTGTCCCCTGGAGCTGGAATTAAAGGCATTTGACTCCCAAGTACTGGGGTTAAAGGCATGTGCTACCACTGTCTGGCTCCTTTTCTCTCCTAGATTGAGTCAATCTCATGTAGTCCAGGGTGGCTTTGAACTCACAGAGATCCAGACAGATCTCTGTCTCCCTAGTGCTAGGATTAAAGGTGTGTGCCACCACTGCCTGGCCTCTCTGTTTAATCTAGTGACTTGTTCTGTCCTCTGATCTTAAGGCAAATTTTATTAGGGTACACAATATATCACCACATTTCCCCTTTTTTTGTCTAAAGTAATAATTAATCCTCACATGCCTTTAATCCCAGCACTAGACATGTTGAGAAAAGAAGTGATATGGTGGGCAGAGAAAGGTATATAAGACGTGAGGAGACAGGAACTATAAAGTCTTTCGGCTGAGGAAAGCTTTTCAGGCTGAGGAGTCCTAGAGGTAAGAGGTGGCTTGTTCCTTTGTCTTTCTTATCTTCAGACAAATTTTATTAGGGTACACAAAATATCACCACAGTAATCCAGTTGGTAAAATGATTGATGCCCTCCTCCCAGGAACCATCTTGAGCACTGCCTAAACCAAACCTGGTCCTGCACACTTTTAATCCAAAAACTAGGGAGGTGGATACAAGGCAATGAGAAGTAATCGTGTAAGGAATTCTAAAACAGTATGGACTATTCTCACAAAAATCAATGAATGAATGAATGAATTAAATAAGTTTTAGATGGGCATGGTGGCACATGTCTTTAACCCCAGCGCTTGGGAGCCAGACCCAGGTGGATCTCTCTGAATTTGAGACCAACCTGGTCTCATAGTGAATTCCACAGATTGTTCATCGAGTAAAGGCAATTATTACCAAGCCTGGAAAAAAAAAATCACTGTATACACACACACACACACACACACACACACACACACACACACACACACTCACCCCTCTGGCTAAACAAATCCTGACTTCTTAATTCAAATAATACTTCACCCAAGGAGCATTATACAGCAAGATTTTAAACTACTATGATGCTTTAAAATGTTTACATTATGTAGCCCACATAATTAAAGTATTCAAACCAAATTTAACAGTATGTAGAAGATGTTTGGTACCACAAGTATTAGCCAGTGCTATAACTCATGTCTTTCATTTTCAGCACTGAGTAGCTCGTGTTTGCTCAGCTTCCGTAAGTGTCCTTTTGAGGTGCTGTGATGGGCTTCTGTTTCCTTCTGACTTGTGCAGTTCTGTGGTCAGGACTGATTTGAGCAGCTTGGCCAGAGTCTAGATGGCACACAAGCTTCTGTCTCCATCCATCTGTGCAGGCTGCACTCCTGTGACTTTTCATCATCAGCATGACCTTGTCACAGTGCTCCTTGACCTGTCCTGATACAATCTGTCAAACCCACCAAACTACATGACAAAAAGCCTGGTACCTCATCTCTTGTTCTCCTCCTGGCTAGTTGGAGACAGCCACCCCAACCCTTCCAAGGGAGGGACACCCGCTTTCTTCTTTTCTCATGCTAGAGCCCTTAAAATGGCTATGTGTCAGTCAGCTGTTGCTGTCTTTGCCTGACCCAGAGGCGGCCCGCATATTCTTTTGGGGTAAATAAATCTCCTTGCTGCTGAGAATCTGGTGTTCTGTGCTGACTCCAACACCCCTTCAATACAATCAATATATTTGATTGTATTTGTACAATCAATGTACAAAAGCCCTGTATTTGAGGGCTTTTGTTTCAATAGAAAAAATTATATTGAATATTGAAAGAGGTTTTTTTGTTTTTTTTTTTTTTTTTAAAGTCAGCTTCGGTTATGTAGGGAGTACCAGGCCAGCCAGGGCTACTTAGCCAAGATCCTGTATCAAGAAAGAAAGGCCTTCTTTAATCCTAGCACTTGGGAGGCAGAGGCAGGCAAATCTGAGGCCAGCCTGGTCTCCAGATGGATTCTAGGACAGCCAGGACTATACAAAGAAACCTTGTCTTGAAAAACTAAAAAAGAAAGAAAGAAGGAAGGAAGGAAGGAAGGAAGGAAGGAAGGAAGGAAGGAAGGAAGGAAGGGAAGGAAAGAAAGAAAGAAAGAAAGAAAGAA